TCTAGTAACTGTTTTGATTTCTGTTTGAGCTGAACGTCTGGTAGAAGCTTAGGAGGACTCAGTGAGGCGGAAAACAAGGCAAGGCCTGTACTTACTATTACTTCAGAGTCTCTTTGACTAGCATACTCCTTCACAGTTTCTAACGGTCTCGAGCGCTTCGGCACCGGAAGCTGCCCATCCAGTTGCTGCGTACGTCGAGACTGCTGGTTTATTTTCCGTTGTAAAGCGGCTGATTTCGGAGGAAGTGCAGGTGGCTCCTCGTCGAGAGGTGGTTTGGGCAGAGGACGGTTGACGCTGAAATTTCCATTTGACCCTTTAAAATAAAATTTGAAAAAAATGCCAGTTTAAATAATGCATCTTTCCTTTTTTGTCTGATGGAAGTGGCTAGGTTAGTCGGTGAGGATGACTTGTATGGACACTGGAAAAGGAATGCCCCACCCACGTGAAATAGGTGGCCCTGCGATAAACTTCAAAAAAGATAAACATTTCTGTATCTTAACTCGGACACTAATCCTGTTATAAAACTAAATTGTAACCTTAATTTTAATCCTAGCTCTACCTTTAACCCAAAACCTACAGTTGACATGAACTAAAATCTTAACCCTCAAAGTAATTCTGACCCCAACCCCAATTTTAACCCTAAACTTGATTTTCCCGGAAATTTGCGCAAAGCCACGTGTATTATGGGCGGTTCCTTCTCCCGTGCCTTGTTAAGGCGGCCATACAATTTATGCTTACCGTGTAGTCTCCAGCCCAAATGACAAAAAGCCCGTATTTCAAAAGAAATTGGAGGATCTAGGACACAAAGAGATTCCGTCTAGGACAGATTGAAACAGCACGACGTTTGTAACGTATTCTGTAGGAATATCCAGTAAGGGAACACTTTTTATGTTTGATCTAAAAGGCCTGGGCAAATTGTTTGCTAGACGAAAATCTTAAGTGTAATTTCACGCAAGACCAGTAGACGAGTCAACAGACTTCCAATGTCGTTGTACAACTTACATTTCGTTTCCGTATAAGTTAATTTTCCTGATTTAAGGAAGCAAAGCCATCTCAACCGTTGGTGAATGGCCACGGTTAACAGTACTGAAAGTGC